AATTTTTTATCTGATTTTGTGGAGTTCCAAGATGATTCAAATGATTTTTAAAAAAATAATAATGTGGTTATTAGATTCATGTATGTGTCGTTTTCCGGAAGAAAAAATGTCAAAAATGGTCATTTTTGAAAGTTTTTTACAGAAAAAAATCTAGCTCAAAAAAACCGCAATTATTTTCTCTACATTTTCTATGGATGAATTTTTAATTCGTCCATAGAAAATGTAGAGAAAACAATTGCGGTTTTTTGAGCTATAGAACTCCTAGGAATGTCTAAAACTGAAAGAGGAGATAGATTTTTTCTGTAAAAAACTTTCAAAAATGACCATTTTTGACCTTTTTTCTTACGGAAAAGGACCATACATGAATCTATAACCACTAATTAATTTTTTAAAAATCTTTTGAATCATCTTGGAACTCCACAAAATCAGATAAAAAATTCTGAAATTATGGTTTTAGACCTGCAATTGTGATCGCGCCAAACTTTTTTTCTCTAGATCAAAAATTAATTTGCAGTTCGGAATTGTTCTGTGGGAGAGCGTGAATAGTAAAATTGTTCACAACAATTAAATATAATAAAAATAGGACAACAATAAGGTAGAAATAAAAATCACATAAGAATAGATATTATTACTTATAGATTAAAACTTATTCTGTAAATGTTAAACTTAAATATTTAGTCATTAAAAGATCACGATCGTCCCACAAGCTTTCCAGCTGTTCCGATAGCAGCCTTCAAAATTGGAATCCGCTGTTCCCGCGTACAAACGATTTGATGCTCATCGGAACACAATTGAATGTAAATTTGCTTCCTCTCATGCAATAAAAATTTCCGCTCTACAATTTCGTCCCTTAAATATTGCTGTAGCACTCGTGCAGCCGCATCAAAATTATATTCCTCTTCTACTTCAAATACCATCCTTGGCTTGTTGATATGTTCTTTGATCTGAAAGTTGGCAAAAATTTCAGTTTTAAATTTACCAGTTGTAAAATGGTGAAGCGGATGACGGACGGATGACCAGCGGATGATCAGCAGTCGGCCAGCCGCCGGTCAGCCGCCAATAAGCCAGTCGCTTGAAATTTGTTCACAAAACAAACCTGTTGAGAAAACTGATAAATATCCTGTACCGGCAAATGAATATAGATTTTTTCGAAATACATAAAATTCCTAGCATCCATTTTGATATTCGGATCCACAACATCCAAGTCTGGAGCCTTACACCATTCATTTGAACTGAAAATCGTTATCCACTTGCTCATCGTCAAAACTCTATTATTTTCGGGCTTCAAACTTTCCGTCCATTTTCTAAATTCAATTTTTTTCAGAGACTTAAAATTGTGCATCAACATTTTGGTTGGTTTCATGTTCTGCTCCGTTGAATCATCGAACCAACCAAGTTCCAATTGAAAAAGGTCAACTATGAAAGTCTTGCTTTTTGCATGATGTCCTAGCTGCTGATAAAACTTGTAGAACGGATCGACAGCTGGATACCACAAATTGCGTGGCTTGGTGACAATTTTTAAGCTCTTCAAATGTGTTTCTCGAATTCGTCGTATTTCTTGCGTTCGTTGAAGACAATAACATATGTGTTCAGATGCCCATTGTTGGAACCTTCGGCAGCAATAGAAATTCGCATGGTATCCTTTCCAAATCATCGTTCTCCCGTCTTTTTGACATCTCCAATGTTCCAATTTCCACGATACATCTGTATCGCCTTTTCCCATGACGGTCTTGACCTTTCCATATTCTCTGGTGACATTCATAAAGTCAAATTTATTTTTATCTATGAAAAAATTGTAATCACGTAGTTCTTGTAGTTCTTTATGATTCTTTGGATATGCATCACGAAGAGCCAACCTGAAAAAAATCGTTGCTTAGCTCACTATCAGATCCCTTGGAAAGCTTCGGGCAAGCGCGTAGCCTAATTGACAAATGCAGAATTTCTACCTTTCTAGTATATTGGCTTCAAGGAACATCCGTCTGTTTAGATGTGGAACAGTGTGGTCCATTTCCGTTTTTACCAACATATAAAGGTTGAACGTTCGGAAATCAGCTTCTAATTTTTCAATTGGATAATCGACTTGAAATTCTTCATCATGTTCTTTGTTCCAATCATCCGGTTCTTCAGAATCAGAATCAGTTTCGGTGGATTCTCTGAAGTTTTCTCGACGTTTTCTCAACACATGTGTCGTTTTTTGGCTTTGATAATTGTGTTGTGCCTTTTCCGATATCAGCATTTCACAAATATTTCGATGAGCTTCTCTGGCTGAATTCCTTTTCAGAAATTCGTATTTTGCACAGAGACGTAAAGAGGTGCGGTCGCTCAGTTCGGTATGTACCATTGGGAGACTGTAAAAAATTATTTTGAGAATCAGAAATCGAAAACTAATCGGAAAATGATGATAAATGACACAATGAATGATCTGAAAACTCGGAATCAAAACATTCCCTCCAAAAAAATTTTTCTGGGTAGATCAAAAAAAAATTTTTCTGGGTAGATCAAAAAAAAAAATTTTCCTGAAATTAAAAAAAAATTGTGTGACCTTGTTTTTCAAAACCTGTCAGCAGGTTGGTAATGTTGTCAGGAACTCGATTTTCAATATCAAGAGCTCTAAAATCTGGATAAGAAAAAGAAGAATTCTTCAAATAAAAATTTTTTCGAAAAATGTTTTTGATCTACTTTACCTATTTCAACCCGCCTACTTTTGATTAGTTTTTTGTTTTTGTTTTTTTTTCAGGTTTTGCCTGCTTTTTTTTCTGAATTTTTCGGTTTTTTTCCTCGATTTTTGTCTTAAATTTTTGTCTTTCACTTCCGAGACTTGGAATCTCGCGATCATTGTGTTCAATGCGAGTTTCTGAAGAGGAATTCGTTTGATGATGTTCATAGAAATATTTGTGAAATGATAACATCGAAAAAAGGATTCAGTGTGCGCAAAAAAATTTCAGATTTATAAAGAATCTCAATTTTTCAGCACGTCGGAGACGATCGGTACCAGCAAGAGACGGGAAGAATCCGAGCAAACTTGGTGAAGTCAGAAGAAGTATGCCGATGATTTTCGAAGGTAAGAAATGCCGATGATTTTCGAAGGTAAGAAATGCCGATGATTTTCGAAGGTAAGAAATGCCGATGATTTTCGAAGGTAAGAAAATGTCCTGCTCAGCCGCCGGTCAGCCGCCGGTCAGCCGCTGGTCCACCGCTGGTCCGCCGCTGGTGAGACGTTGGTCAGAAGCTGTTAAGATAATGGTCAGCAGCTGGTAAGCCGTTGGTCCGCAGCTGGTCCGCCGCTGGTAAGCCGTTGGTCAGCCGTTGGTCAGCCGTTGGTCAGCCGCTGGTCTGCCGCTGGACAGCTGCTGGTCTGCCGCTGATCCGACGCTGGCCCACCGCTGGTCAGCTGCTGGTCCGCCGCTGATGAGCCGCTGGTCACCCGTTGGTAAGACGCTGGTCAGAAGCTGTTAAGATAATGGTCAGCAGCTGGTAAGCTGCTGGTCAGAAGCTGATCCGCCGCTGGTCCGACGCTGGTCCGCCGCTGGTCAGCTGCTGGTCCGCCGTTAGTCAGCCGTTGGTCAGCCGCTGGTCTGCCGCTGGTCAGCCGCTGGTCCGCCGCTGGTCAGTCGCTGGTCCGCCGTTGGTCAGCCGCTGGTCCACCGCTGATCAGCCACTGGCCCGCCGCTGGTCCGCAGCTGGTCCGCAGCTGGTCCGCCACTGGTCCGCCACTGGTCAACAGCTGGTCTGCCGCTGGTAAACCGCTGGTCAGCGGGAAATATCGATTGGAAAAAAAATCAATAATTCCAGAAATTCCAAACCTTCGAAAATCCACCGAAGACGATTCGGACGTTGAGGAGCCAGTCGATACTGAATACCAAGACCAATCAGGAGCTAATTTCACACTGAAAGATCTGGGAGATGCCTGGGATCGGACTTTAATCAAAAAGTATCCAGGAATCCAACATGAGGCCGATATGAATAAGCGGAATTGGAAAAAGGACTTGGTCCAAGATTCCGATGAGGAGAAGCAAAATTGGAAAGAGGACTTGGTCCAAGATTCGGATAAGGAGAAGCAAAACTGGTAGAAAGACTTGGTCCAAGATCCAGTGGTTTTAAGATCGCTAGTTATTCAGTTTTGATATCAAGGATGTCGTAAACAATGTTCCGGCCGGCCGCTGCCCAAACCGTGGGTAAGTTCTAGCCACCAAAAAGACACGGTTTTTCCCTACAGCATTTATAGATAATCCAAAAATGCGAAATGAGAAAATGTAAAAATTCAGATTCAATTTCCGAAATTTCGGAACCGAATACTGTAAACTGATGAACAAGACCAAATGTTATATAATAATTTATAATAATTTATTACGTATCTAAAATACGTGAAGTGTATGGGTCATGCAAAAGAGTTCAATATTCCGTGTTCCTTTAAGTTGGGATCTGTGTCATCTGGCATACATTAACGAGAAAACGCTTTTTTTCTTTTCTTTTTCGATCGATATTTGGACACGTGGAGTTCAATCGAGAGAAGACCCCAATAGCAAATTTGGGAAGCATTGCAAATGAGCATATTCATTGGTCGAATCCAGAAGAACAGATGGAAAATCCGCATTGGAAGCCAATTTCGTTTTTTCAGCCACTGCACCTTCTTCCGACGGCTTGCTCTCACTTTCTTACGATATCTGCGATCCTTTTCCTGAGCAGCCCGAGAACGATCTTGAGCCAATTTCCATTGCTTCTTCTGCTTCCTAATTTTTTCCTTAATTAATTTCCTTTCTTCTCTTCTTTTTGCTCTTCTTTCGGCTTTCCATCTACCGTAAAACTCCTTATACGACTGTTCTAAGCCTTTCAAGTACTCGATCCATATCCGATCCTCATGCTCTTCCTTATCCATCCTAAGCCAAAGTTGATTCCACGTCCGAATTCACCTCCCACGAATGAAAAATAAACGGGAATCAAAAAGATGAAGATTATTATGGACTATGGAAAGATCAAAGTTCAAATGAAAAATTGGAATATCATCGATGTTATCCATGTGGATTACTGGAGATGTGATCAGGAAACAACACTTGTCTGGCATGGATATTTTGCTAGATTTGATAGTTCCAGAAAATTCCAACAACTCGCTGCATACAATGTATTTCATACTATCAAATGGACGTCTTTGATTTCGTTGGAGTTTGAAACTGAAAAGTATAATTCATAGAACCCAAAATTGGATCCGTTCTACAAGTTCTACAAACAACTATCACATCGGCTGCGCCATCAAATTAAGGTAAAAGAGTTCAAAATGGAACTAAGTTTTTATGATGGTCAGGACGCTACGGAGGATCAAGTGATGGACATATTGAAATATGTGAAACCTCGCATTTTGAGAAAGATTACGATTCGAAAATGGGATGATAGTCATATGCATAGAAATGGGATTACAAGAGTGATGAAGAGCTGGCGGATGGTTCCACAATTGAAACAATGGGAAGAAGCCCGATATTTTGATATAAGAAGTAGCGATTTTCAAAATGTTTAATTCTCGAAGGAATAAACAAAAATGGTCCAAATTTCTGTAATTCGTCACAGAAAATGCTAAACTACTGATAAATGTCATAATCGATGTTTTTTTGTTCAGAAATGCTTTATTTCAACGCAATCATGAAAAATATGGTTTTAATTACATTATTTCTGTTGATTTTCAATTTTGCGAAAAGTTACGTGATGCACAGGAATTGAAGGCTTCGAATTCTGAGAATCTTTTAAATTTTACGTGATTCACAGAAAGTAAACGTTTCAATTTCTGGGATTTTTCACAGAACTCGAACAGTTCGAGTTCTGGGATTTTGGAAATTCACGTGATTCACAGGACTCGAAGCTTTCAATTTTTGGGATTCTGGAAAAGCATGGGGGGGGGGGGTAGGGATTCAAGAAGGGTCGTGATAAAGCAAAATGAATATTAGGAAACTATCGTTGGACTTGTCGTTTTCCATAAAACGGATCCTTCGAGCTTAAAGATAATTGTTTTCCATGGTGCTCTATGTTGACTGAAAAACTAGTTGAAAATTCTGAATCGAATTGAAAGGGTTGAAGTAAATAAAAATTTTTATTCGAAACTTACTATTGTCACATACAGTACTTAAGGATGAAATTGGTTGAGGAGAGCTCGTATTTCTACATGAGGATGCAAAAGGCTTTTTGATCTTTTTTGAAGGGGGAGGTTTTCTTCACGTGTATTGTTCCTAGTTTCTGTTTTCTGATTCTCAGGACAACAATGTTATATTTTTCCGTGACATTTCAAAAAAATGAAGGAGATAAAAAAAAGGAACGTGGATCCACAGTAGTGCGACTGAAGCAATTTAGTGTGGATTCGAATATATTCCCATCAAAACTAGAAGAGGAATATGTCGAACTTCTCTCGGATAGCAACCCTTCCCCCGGAACTCTTGTTCGCCCTTAAAAGCACTTTCAGCCTTTAAAAAGTTGGCATAGCGCCCTAAATCAGCTGATATCTAGAAGCAAGGCTCCCTGCAAAAAATTCTCTCTAACCTTTTTTTTCAGACAGCAATAATATTTACATTCAAAAAAAAAAAGAAAAATTGAAATTACAGTTGATATATTTCAATATAGACATGCTATACAGTTAAAAACTACAGATTTTTCAAGAGAACACAAAATTTAGGAAGAATAGAATAATTTTCAGAATGTTGAAAAATTACCAAAAAAAATCTGCATACCTATGAAGAAAAAATAGCTTTTCCTATTCCTAGCTACATTTTTGTGTTAAATTTTGAATTCGAATTCTGGTCATGCTTTTGAATTTGGCACCATTTTTCGGATAGCCCAATAAAAGGGAAGGCCTATAATTTTTTCAAAAAATGTGAAAAATTCCAGTCAAAAAGTACTGAAATTAGCGAAAATCAGTAAGATTTTCACGTTTTTTTGGTGCAAATTTGTTTCAATTTTTTGTTTAAAATCATAGGTTTAGGCAAAAACGCATTGTTAACCTTTCACTGGGACACCTGAATTTTGGCGCCAGATCCAAAAAGTATCCCAATTCAGAAATCATCCTCGGAATTCCAAAAAATTCTGAAATATTAGAAATTTAGAATATTCTTGAAATCAAAAGAAATACATTTTTTAGAACCAGAAACTCAAAAATCTTGATTCTAGTATACCGTATTTCCTCTAATAGAAGCCCTCCATTTGAAGCCCACTCCGCGAGGTTCATCGAAAAATAGAAGCCCACACTCCAAGCAAATGGGCTTGTATTGGAGAAAATACGCTGATTGACAATTCCAGAATTTTTGGATTTTCTGTGATTTTAGAACTCGACAATTTCTCAATTTCTGAATTTTCTAATTTCTAAATTTCGGAATCTCAGATTTTTAAAATTTTAGATTTTTTTCCCGGAATTCCAGAATTCCAGAATTTTGAGATCTTGGAATCTCAGGATTTCATAAATTCGGAATTTTGAAATTTAGAATTGCATAATGAAAATTTCGAATTATCCAAAACACTGAATTTCAGAATTCTTAACTCCCGAATTGTAAAATTTCGGATTTTTTTGAATCAATTTTTTTTTGAAAATAAATAATTGAAAAATAGAGGCCCATGGGCTTTTATTAGAGGAAATACGGTAAATTATTACCACTTTTCAGAAATTCACACTCATTGAAATTTTGAGAAAGAGGAATTATTCACATTTTCACGTCAAAAAAGGAACTTATTTATATATCAAAAACAAAAAAGATTTTTGTAGATCGAATAGCGCACTGGTTTACACGCCGGTGTGTGAAGCGATAGACCCGAGTTCGATCCTCGCTCGAAGCACCGGATTTTCGAAAGGGGCGAAAAAGGCCAAAAATGACCGTGTTGCCAATTTTTCATCCGTGTTGCCAATTTTTCAAAATTATTTTCAAATTTTCAAAACATCACGTGGAATCTTTTATAGATTATGAACAAAAATTTTCCACTATCTCGATCAATTTCATTTTAAAGGAGGGGACATCAAATTTTTCAAAATTTTTATTTTTTCTCAAAAGAGGTAACTCTAAAGTATAAGTATAGTTTTGTACTTAAAAACAGAAAAAAAACACTACACCGACGAAAAAATGCTCTTTTTTCTGACCGTAATTTCCTCACTCGTTTGCTGCAGCGGCGTCGCTTCATAAGACAAATCAACACGGTCGTCGCCTCTCACACGCGTGGTGTAGTGTGGACGCTCTAGGTTAGCATTCAGAAGGTCGGAGGTTCAATCCCTGCTAATGATTCCCCTTTTTTCCATACTTGTGGAAAAGATGGCCGGGCCGGGCCGGGCCGGGCTTTTTCTCGAATTTCGGAGGCCCGGCCCGAGCCCGGTCCGGCCCGGCGGGCCTGTCATTCCACAAGTTCTGAAAAATTCGAAAAACACATACGGGGGGACCCTTATGTGATTTTTTTCGATCAAAAAATTTTTTTCGAGTTTTTTCAAATATTTTTTGATCAAACAGACAAACAATCCAAAAAGCACAAAAAAATATAGAAAATTGTATTAAGAGCTCAAAATTCGGTTCAAAATGACAAAATTTTTGCTACCGGGTCTTCCGGGCCGGGCCCGGGCTTTGAAATTTTCCTCAGGCCCGGCCCGGACTTTGGCGGGCCGGCCCGGTATTTTACAAGTATGATAAAAACTGTTTTGAAGTCGTAATTAGAAAAAAAAGTTTCATCCTTGGCTTAATGAAGTTTGATTTTTAAAATTCAATTAAATTGACTTTTTTCGGATGGTTGTATGCATTTGGATTAATATTTGTGCCATTATAAATATTTTGGCACATTCGAAAAATAAAATTTCCGAAAAGTTGTCCTAGGCGGGCCGAGCGGGCCGGGCCGAAAGTTTTGAGACAAGCAGGCCGGCCCGCCCGGCCATCCACATGTATGCTTTTTTCTTAGCTTGTCTCTTTTGGATTCAACTTTTGGAACTCAAAATTTTTGGAATGGGAATTTTCGGAACGTCAGCGTGCCGTCAAAGCCTAGCTACGAGATAAGAAACACTGTTGATAATAATATATGCAGTTAATTATGTCAACAAATAAATTATGCAAAAAAAAAACATTAAATTTTTAGTAAGAACACAAACAATTCAAAAAATCGTAAAATTATAATTTTGTTTCCTTCCGAGTTTGTCGTCGCAAGGCGAAATGAGCAGAAGATGTGAAGGCGTTGCTGAAAACCTCATTCATGAAGCATACTGTATTGTTTTCATTCTCTGAGTAATAATGAGACGAAAAAAATACCAGTTGAAAGAAAGGCGAAACGGCAATCAGAGACAAAATTATTTTTTTGCATATTTTTAGAAAAAATCGGTCACTGACAAAATAATCATTCGACTGAACCGGAAATTCACGAAAAAATTTTATTTATATGATTTTTACAATAAATTACAAAAAAAACCATTTTTTAAAGGTGGGGGGACATGAAAAAAATAATGTTCTCGAAATTTCGTTTAAATATGCCTCTCGAGGAGTTGAACGTGTGGGACGAGGATTGAGGGTGTGGCGCCGCTACCGACTGAGCTACACGGGCAAAGAGAAATCGGTCGCCCGATTGCATACATAAAGGCGAGGACGACAGCTGTACGCAGAGTGACATTAAGCGTTGTACACCGTGACGGTAGAATGCATACTCTAGCTACAAAAAAACTACGAAAAATCTCCTGTCCCCCCCCCCCCACCTTTAAGTTGTAAAGTCGTTTAAAATTCGGAAAAATGAAGTCGGAAAATAAAAAAATAAAAAAAGTTTTCGCGTCGGATTGCGTGCTTTAGGTGCGAACACCGCGACGGCAAATCACACGTTCCCTGAAATTTTCCCCGAAAATTTTGCTGTCTGGCCCCCTTTAAAGTACTGTATGTGACAAAGGTAAGTTTTAAGCTTTGTACTTATATTTTTAGGATCCGTTTTATGGAAAACAACAAGTCCAACGATAGTTTCCTAAATTCATTTTGCTTTATCACGACCCTTCTTGAATCCCTACCCCCAGGAAATACTACTCGAAAAGGCTTTATCGTTTTTTATGTAAATTTGAACATTTTTTTCGCTCCGCAACGAAAATTTAAAATTACTGAACATCACAGAAATATTGGAAATCGAAGTGATTTGGGATGAAAATTGAAAATTTTAAAATTCGCTCCTTCTTATATTCTGGATAGGAATATGCAAATGTTGAAGGAAGATTACATTGGTGAAAAGCATGTGAAAACAATTCGAGTGGGGTTGAAAGAAGAGGATATTTATGAGCTTTGTCAAGTAGTAAGTCGATGCGTCTGATAAAACTGTGCGTATCCGCCGCTGGCAACCCGCTGGCAACGCGCTGGTCAGCCGCTGGTCAGCCGACGGCCAGCCGATGGTCGGCTGCTGGTAAGCCACTGGTCGCTGAATATCCGCTGAACATTCTCTGGTCTACCGCTCGTCAGCCGCTAGTCAACCGCTGGTGAGCCGCTGGTAATCCAATGGTAAGCCGCTGGTGAGCCGCTGGTAAGCCGCTGGTCAGCCGTTTTTCATAAGTTGGTCAGCCGCTGATGAGCCGCTTGTAAGCCGTCGCTAGCGATTTTCAATATTTCCGAAAATTTTACTAATTTTTCAACTATTCCAGGTCCGCGAACATCGTTCCACTCCATTCAACTTAACAATGACTGTAAACGAAGGCTTTGACTTCTCGAAAGTTCAAAGATTGTTGGTTGAAAAAAAAAACATTGAATTAGTAGCTCCGATCATAGTTGATGGGAAACCTGTCAAGATTTCATATCGGCTTGGACAATTAAAATGTGACAGATCTACCTGGATTATGATGAGTTTTGAGGAGACCGATTTGGACGGGAACAAGGAGAAACGGATTATTTTTCTTTTTTTTCTGTTTTTAAAGCCGGCAGCTTCTAGAATTTTTCAGAATACTTTTTTTTGGAGAATTGGATTTTTGATCTACCAAATTTTAACCGCGAATTTTTCAACTCTGTTATCGATTTTCTTGTTCTTTTTTTCTTTTTCGCTGCTGTCCAGCGGCTGTTCGGCGGCTGAAAATAATTTTTATTTTTCTTTTATTTCTTTAATTATTCGTTTTTCTGAATTTTCAGCCATCCAATGGTCCACAAAAAACTCAAAAATTCAGTTGAGCTATTTGCGAAGTACGAGTTTCTGAAAGGCAATTCACCTGCCCAAGCTAGTAGGAATTTGTATGAAACGAAGACAGGCGGAATTGTGGAAAATGTTCCTCGAGGTTAAATTTGAATTTTTTTCAATATTCATTTTGAAATTTTGAATTAGTCATTTTTCAGAAGACGCCGACGATCTTGCGAGAGAACCAACATCTACTGAAATCGATCCGGAACTCAGCGATTACCAAAAACCAAAACGTGCAACTGTATTAGACTGGTATTGCGATGTTTCTAGTCAGGACATTGATAAAAACTTCAAAAAGATTGCCGATCAAGAATACAAAAAGAATATAAAGTATGGGGAAATTAAAGATGATATCAAACCGCATGACTGTTTGGACTTGTGAGTTTGGAATTAGAGTTTGAGTATCTGGAAAGCGGAATGCGGAATTTCATTTCCGGAAAAATTCAGTTGCTTTTATCCATCACATGTAATTTGTCGGCGGACAATTATAATAATCAAATTTCAAACATTTCAGATTGCTTATGCTAAAATTATATGATGCACCTCAACGTGATTCCTTGAAAAAAGCGTTTCCAATGAACAGGGTGATAGTGACCAGAGCATATGGAAAAGTCAAAGTTCAAATTTTCAAACTTAATGATCCACCACTGAACCTACAATACTGGAGGTGTCAAAATGAGAAATGTCTGGTTTGGAAAGGCTATCAAGCAAGATTTGACAAGACATCACGATTCCAACTGCAGGCGTCCATTCATTTATACTATGTTCTTCACAAGGCAAAATTGAACGTGCTGGAATTCAAAAGTGAAGAATATGAAAGTTGGGATCCAAAACTTGACCCATTTTTCTATATTCTCAAATCCTTGAACTCTCAGTTCAGAAGTGACATGGGATCCGTTAAAGCAAATAAGTTGATAATGGAAACTAGATGGTACGGGGACACTGGCGAAAAGAATGAAGAACAGATGAAAGATTTACTGAAACTGTTGAATTCAAAACATTTGGTATCGATTAAACTTCGAAAATGGAAAAGTGTCGAAAACCCGAGAGAAGTGAGAGAAGCACATGAGGAAACAATCAAAATTGACCCATTGATTTCAAATATGGATCAATGGAGAAACGCCAAAGAGTTGGATATCCAGAATGAAGATATACATTTGAATGAGCAAGATTTTATGAACTTTGAAACGGTTCATATTATCTTGAAGACTGAGAAAATATTGGATTTCTGTGAAAGGGTGAGTTTTTTTTTGCTAGGGACCACGAAGGGGCTTGAGTAAGACGATTTTATTTCTCAAGGCCTTTAGGCCTTTTTTGTTACTTCAAAGGCTTTCTTCCTTAAAGATTACTATTCACCAAGAACATTTTTATAGCCAGAAGCCTTTACTTACAAACCTTTGTAGATTGGAGCAGAGCCAAAAAGATTCTCTAACTTTGAATCAAATTTTGGCTGTTTTGTAAAAATATTGACGTCTTTCAAAAACTTAAGCTTCAATTTTCAGCTCCATGAGACTGATTTCCGGGGACACATTATCACTTTCATCGTTGACGAATCTTTTGATTTCAAGGCAGCGGAAGACATGTTGGCTGCAAAATTCAAGGGTTCCGTAAGATACCCAATGCCTGGAAATCGAAGTCTCGAATTGGTATCAGAAAACTTTAAAATTATCTACCACAACGAGGAAAAGCCGAAACCGAGGATTGCCAGTTACAGCCAACTCGTTGAGCGGGGTATGATTTGAAATCCTGGAAATTAATTAATTGATAATTTTATTCTCATTTTTTTTATATTCACCTCATTGCTAAATTTGATATTTATGTAAAATATGTTATTTCGATTAATTATTTCGGCTATTGGGATGAACGTTTTTGTCCGAACACTATTTTTAACAGAATTTTAGAATGTTTCAGAAAACTGGAACTACCTGGAAAATTTTGAGTTTTTGATCTACCACATTTTTCTGATTTTTTCCGCGAGTTTTCCGTTTTCTCAACTTGTTTTTCTGGTTCTTGTTTTTTTCTTTTCGATTTGCTTCTTTCCTTTTTCCGAATGCCCATAGAATCCCAAATGTTGAAAATACTCCAGCATTTTTTGTTGGGAGAAGTGAGAACCAGCATTAACAGTCTGTGTAGAAGCTTTTTAGCTTAATCATCGAGATTAGCTATGTAGTTGTCGATGTATTCCAAGATCCATTTCCGGCCCCAACAGCTCTAGTTCCAGCTGCTCCAATTTCAGCTTCAGGATCATAACCTCCTGTTCCAATTGCTCCAGTTCCAGGTGCGGCTCCCAGAGCTCCAGCTCCCAGAGCTTCAGCTACCAGAGCTCCAGCTCCCAGAGCTTCAGCTACCAGAGCTCCAGCTCCCAGAGCTCCAGCTACCAGAGCTTCAGCTACCAGAGCTTCAGCTCCCAGAGCTTTAGCTCCCAGAGCTTCAGCTCCCAGGGCTCCAGCCCCCAGAGCTTCAGCTCCCAGAGCTCCAGCTCCCAGAGCTTCAGCTCCCAGAGCTTCAGCTCCCAGAGCTTCAGCTCCCAGAGCTTTAGCTCCCGGAGCTTCAGCTCCCAGTGCTTCAGCTCCCAGAGCTTCAGCTCCCAGAGCTTCAGCTCCCAGAGCTTCAGCTACCAGAGCTTCAGCTCCCAGAGCTTCAGCTCCCAGAGCTTCAGCTCCCAGAGCTTCAGCTCCCAGAGCTTCAGCTCCCAGAGATTCAGCTCCCAGAGCTTCAGCTCCCAGAGCTTCAGCTCCCAGAGCTTCAGCTCCCAGAGCTTCAGCTCCCAGAGCTTCAGCTCCCAGAGATTCAGCTCCCAGAGATTCAGCTCCCAGAGCTTCAGCTCCCAGAGATTCAGCTCCCAGAGATTCAGCTCCCAGAGCTCCAGCTCCCAGAGATTCAGCTCCCAGAGATTCAGCTCCCAGAGCTCCAGCTCTTGCTCACCAGCTGAATCTGGAGAACTGACGATTTTCACTGTTTCTCTCTTCTCTTATATGCAAAAAATCCAGATCCTTATCTTTTCGCTCTATTTTTTCACTTTTTGAAAAAAAGTTTTTTTTCTGACACGTGAATTTTTTCTTCAAATATTTTTTGAATTTTAAAAATGAGAAACTAATTTTTCACGCGTGCCTTGTATTATTATTCCATTCTCTCCCTGCTTTTACATGTACACAATTGGTCTAGTGGTATACACTGTTGGCCATGAAGCCGAGAGTTTTTGGTTCGACCCCCCGCCTGTGATTCTCCTTTTTTTGTTCATTTGCTTTGACAATAATCGTTTTCTATTGAAATGATCATTTTGTCAGAACTCGATTTTTTATTTCAGTATTTTAGATTTTTGTTTCTTCAGAAAACTAGACCTACATTGAATAATTCTAAATTTTTGATCTACCTCATGTTTCTGATTTCATCCGCGAACTTTTCGTATTTTCAACTTGTTTTTCTGGTTCTTCTCCTTGTTGTTATTCCTTTTCGGTTTGCTTTTTCCCGTTTTTTCATATTTTTCTCTAATTATTTTTTCATTCATCTGATGGTCATTTTAGCCATTTCCAGCTATTTTTTTTCAGCCATCCAATGGTCCACAAACACCTCCAAGACTCACATGAATCACTCACGCTATATGCCAGATACGAGTTTCTGAAAAGGAATCCAGTTTCAGAAGCTCATCGAAATTTTTGTGAAATGCTGACGTCGGAAAAAGGGGACAATGCTTCTAGTGAGTTTCTCCAAATTTCAAATTTCTCAAAAATAATAATTTCCAGATACCCTGACAAACTGCAGACCGGTTTACACAACTGCAATAATGTTCTATGGAACGTGTGTTGAAAAACCTGAAGAAGTCAATCCAGAAGAAGATTCAGATACTGATTCAGAAGATTTGAATCCTCCTAAAGAACAATTCAAAGTGAATTTTCATAAGAAAGATTTGAGCAAATTCTACGAGAAATTTTATGAAGAGAAACACAAAACTGAATCAATAAAAAATGTTATTGCTGCTTCTGGAGCTCTAGAACGGTAAGTTGGTTTCTAACTAGGATTACTTGGCTCAAAACTGAAGTTTTCGACTGAAACAAAAAGAAAAATGTAGAAATCGAAAAGATCTACAAAATGGTGTATATTTCAACTAGATTCAAATACCGAGTTTCGAACCAAAAGCATTGATCCGGTCCTGCTTGTTTTTGACCTATGGTTCGAAACTCGATATTCGAAAATGGTCAAAATTAATATCGTTTTTTTAGATCTCGTTGAGTTGTACATCATCCTTTTCGTTTTTTGTGAAAAAATTCAATTTTGAATGAAGATATGAGTCTTGAATCATTAAGCATCGCGCCATTCTCCCTCCTGAACTTGGCATTATTTGCAGATTGTATCTCCGAACTTTGAATGGAAATTTCCTTGAATATGTCAAGAAGTCAAAATTTCCAATAAGTCACTTACGCACCACCAGAGCATATGGGAAGGTTAAACTTCAATTTCACGACAAGGGAAAGAAGAAAATTCAGAATTTGGAATACTGGAGATGTGACAAATACAGAACACTCATTTGGAGAAACTATCATGCCAGATTAGATGGTTCGAGAAGATTCCAGCAATTTGCTGCACGCAATGTATTTCAAATGACTCGCTGTACTCCATTGGATGAAATTGAATTCAAAACCGAACCGTATAGTTCCTGGAACGTTGCTTTTGAGCCATTTGACAAGTTCTACTATATCCTAGCGGATTGTTTCTTAAAATCGCTCGTTCTTAAAATGAATGCTAAGAAATTTTCAATGGATATCACATGGTTTAAATCCACCCCTCAAGATAATAATCCAAAAAAAGAGCCGTTGTTGGTTTTGTTAAATCTTATGAAACCAGAAGCCATAGAGCACATAAAGCTCCGAAAATGGGATGACTGGCATATACGAGAAAATAGAAAGACAAGGATAATGAGAAATTTTTCGCGGAAGGTTCGACAATTGGAACAATGGAGAATGACTCGAAAACTTGATATTCTGGATAAGAATATACAAGTTTTGCCGGAAGACTATATTGTTGGAAGCCAAGCGGAGACAATTCGAGTGGGGTTGAAAGAAAAAGATGTGTATGAGCTTTGCGAATTGGTAGGAGAAGTTGAAATATTTCTTAATGCTGGTCATTTATCAATTTTCAATTGTTCCAGGTCCGCCAACGTCGATTTCCGTTCTTCTTAACAATGACAGTAAACGGTGACTTTGATTACTTGAAAGCTGTGGGCTTGTTGGCTGTAAAAAGAGACATAAAACGAGTACCTCCATTCGAAGTGAATGAGAATTTGGTCAAGGTTTCATATCGATTGGGAAATTTCCAAGACCGCAAATCTCTTGAGTTCTTTATGGATTTCGATAATGCCGAATGGGAGGGAAAGAAAGAGAATAAGATATTCTTCCACATCAAAGATACGACTGATGAAAAGACGAAAAACTAATAATTGATTGGCTTAAATTTTGCATTAATTTTGTTTATTTTCTGATTCGTTTTAATGCTAGTTAATTTTTGGAGTATGCAGTTTGTGAAATACGATATTTGTGTATTTCTATGTCATTCTGTAATTACCTTATTTTGAAATAGATATGTTCGACAAAAAATAATAAAATCGAGATGATTGTGCATTTGTTCGTGACGTTGTTTACATCTAGCCGCGTAGCTGAACTGGCTCAACTCTTCAAAAAACTAATATTAGCAGAGTTTCGACAGTTGATAAAATATTGATGAGATTATGATAATTATCTTATCAGTTAAACTTTATTGGTATCTCCTAAAGGAAACCCAGATAATTAAGCTCAAAAAGCACGTATACCATCGGTTTATACTATTATTGCATCCCTTATCAAAGTATTTTCAGATATTAAAAAATCTATTCGAAAAAGTAAAACTTGAACAATTAAACGAATGAAAAAACCCAATTATTATTAACCGAAATTTTATAATAATTCAACAACCAATTAATTACTTATTAATCACATTAAACTGTCCAATTGGAATCCTCTTGAACAAATCTAGCCTTCGATTTTCCGGATAAACGACGGTAATTATTATTTGGTCCCTTTTCAAAGCGAATCCGAGAATTCGATGTTCTCCAGACCGGAAGTATAGAGTGTTATACTCGGATGGTTCTTCTTTTTCTTTAGTAACACGAATATACTTTGAATGGCGAGAAGCGACAATGAGGAAAGTTGGAAGTTCGAATTGAAGTTTCGTTTCGATGGTGACTTCTCCTCGTGGAGGGTTGTCAACGAATGTCTGGAAGTCAGTGAGTTTGGAATTTGAATTTTTAGGATGGTGGTGAACATTTTATTAGTTCACCAATTTTTGATATCTCATAGAGGAACCGAGATAAATTGATTCAAAATTAGAGGATCCTTCCATTTCAGGTGTATCAGTTTTTAAAAATTCTGAGAGGTTCATATAGTCATGTTGTATATCATTTTGTAGCCCTTGAAATGACAATTTTTCGTTATACGCAATAGCTTTTAACAATGAGTTTGAAGCAAGTTATGAACCAAAACGTCGGATGAAACTAACCGAAATAACGTCCATCATCCCTTGAACGGTCAATTTTCGAATGCCAACATATTCCAAATGACTATAATCCCTCCAATCATGAGCCACCTTCCCATCCATCATGTCCAAAATGTTCAGCTGTTTCCATTGCTCAGTGCTCACTGCAGACATCTGAATATTGACATCAGTCGGATTCAATGTTCGTAGAGATAACGTCTTCAGCCATCCAGGAGTTACACATAGGAGAACGGAAAGCAAGCTATTGCTGTCGTTGGCTGCCCAACCTTTTTCGGTTTCGAAAATCTTCATTTTCAAATTCTTCACTTTTATAGTCATGTCGTATTCTTCATCCATAATCATTTGTAGTTTTTCCAAAAAACCTTCATGTCCCACCTCGTCTGGATGACAAAGTTCCAATCGTTGAATGTCGATTACCAAAGTTTCGATTTCAAATTTCGTTTCGTTCAAAAGAAAACACAAATCCCGAGCTGCATCGGTCTCCAAATTCGTACCCATTTCCAGAACTTTCTCAGCTCCTCCACTCGAAATCCGGGTCATTCCAGTTGACTTATCATATCGAATTTTAATTCTGGGGTAATTTTCACTTTCAAATCTTACATCTATATAATCATAGCTGAAAGTGATCTTAAGAAATGTGACTGGATTTTCTGGATTTTCCGCGAGATCTGGGAATATTCTTCGGATATATAGAGCTATACAAACTTGATCGAAATTCCAAGCTCTTTTGATTCGATTTTCAGCCATTTTCGTCATGACTCCTTTCACATAATCCAGTGTATAAATCACAGTTTCATCGGATTTTTCTCGATTTTTTGAAGCTCCAGGAGCACCTAACAACATTTGTTTAGCTTGCTGGATCGCTGAAAAAACTCAAAATTCAAATTTTAAAAAAGTTAAATATTACTATTTTTCAGAATCTGTTCCAGTCCGTCGTGTCTTCTGATATATCTCCAAACAGCATTATGAGCCTGTCGAACGGTATGAAATGATTGAAATTCTTTTTCGATGATTCTGTCGACTTGGTTTGTTAGCGGTTGGAGGGTTGCCATTTGGAGGGTGGAAATATGAAAAAAAAATCAGAAAAACGTCGAATTTTAAAAACAGTTGCGCGGTGAAACTGAAAACAAGTAGATCAAGTTGTGGGTAGATCAAAAAATTTTTATTTAATTTCGAGGTGTCTAACTTTTATCAAAGTGATTTTTCTGGGCCATTTTTACATGGCGGCCTAAATCTTGCAGTTTGGGTTTTCTAGGCGACTATCCTTTATGGCCTAAAAATGGTCTAAAATGCACCTGATGTGTTTCTCAAACTATTTTTGCAAGGTGGCCTAACTTTAGCAAGTTGAGTTTTCTAGGCCACCACTCTTTTTTTAAGCCTAGAAACGCCTTTCAACTGACTTTTTTTCTAGATAATTTCAACATGGTGGCTTAACTTTTGCAAGTAGAGTTATCTAGGCCACGGTAGTTAATGGACCAAAAATGGCCTAACAACCATCTTATGCGTTTTCTCGGCTATTGACCATAGTAGCCTAACTTTTACAAGTTGAGTTTTCTCGGCCACCAACTTTTGTGTCCTATAAATGCCCCAATTTTCGCCTGATGTGTTTTCTAGATCAATTACCATGGTGGCCTCACTTCCGCAAGTTCGGTATTCTAGGCCACTGTGGTAAATAGCCTAGAAAACAACAACGGGGGAAGCTTTCTTAGAACAACCTAGAAAAAAGATTCTCTGAAGTATAAAGGTCTTTAAAAAAGCTTTGATTGAAATTTTTTCAAACAAAACTACTTTTTCCGTCGAAATTTTGAAGTTTGGATTTCTAGGCCACCAAATGAAATTCTCGGCCGTCATGAACTTTCCTATGTAATTGGCATAAAAAAGTATTAAAGGAGGCCAGACAGCAAAAAAAAAGTTTTCCTGATATTTTGCATAGAGAACCCCCATGAGGGGTTGAACTCATGACAGGCAGCTCAGGGGTACAGCGCCGCTGCCGGCTGAGCTACGGGGGGCGCAAAGGCGCCTGACGACCGATGGTTTACATAAGCGCGGCGCGATTTCGGCCCCCGGACTGCCCCCGAAATTTTTGCTGTCTCGCCTCCTTTAACGTTTCTAAATTCTGATGGTATCATCACTACGGAATAATATTTCAAACTATACGCAAATTTTGAAACAGGAATTTCAGATTTAAAAAAACAGTATTTTTTTGAAAAGACTTTGAATGCTGGACAAAAATTATGAGGACATCTGGACCGCGAAAAAATCGCAAACACACAAAAAAATCGAGGTTTATAGCAATTTTTAAAAACAGACAAAAAATAAAAAATAAAATTACAACGAAAATTGAAGAAAAGAAAAAGTTTGAAACTCCAAAAAATAACCAATCAATTAATTATAAATACCATTGCCGTCTACATCTCAACTGCTCCATTGGAACATTCGTGAACACTTCTGGCTTTCGATTTCTCGGATAAACAAGAGCAAGATGGATTTCGTGTGGTTTGACCGCCATGCCAAGGACCGGAAAATACAATGTGCGGAAGTAGAGAAAATTGTATTCAGGTGGGATTTCTGGTTCAACCACTCGAAGGGGAATATGTAATATATGACTGCAGGCCGTCTGGATGAATGTTAAAATTTCGAATGGCTCCTTCACTTCGATGACGACTTTATCGTGTTGGCGTGGAAGGTGATCAGTGAATGTCTGAAATTTCAGATGGATATTTCTTGGAAATTTGTTCATTGAGATGTCCCCTCAAGATAACTTGGAATTTAAAGGGGGGAGGGGGGCAGGAGATTTTTCATAGTTTTTTTGTAGCTAGAGTATGCATTCTACCGTCACGGTGTACAACGCTTAATGTCACTCTGCGTACAGCTGTCGTCCTCGCCTTTATGTATGCAATCGGGCGTGCGCTTTCTCTTTGCCCGCGTGGCTCAGTCGGTAGCGGCGCCGCACCCTCAATCATCGCCCTCAAAAGTTCAACTCCTCGAGGGGCATCTTTGAACGGAATTTCGAGAACATTATTTTTTTCATGTCCCCCCACCTTCAAGCAAATTTTCCCCTAAAACCCCATTAAAACGATTCAAAACTAACCGCAATAATGTCTAAAATCGGACCAATCGTCAGCTTCGTAATTCCAATATAAGCCAAGTGAAATAAAGTTTCCCACCCAAGCACCATCTTGACATTCTTCGTATCCAGCATAGTCAGTCTTCTCCAATGCCCAGTTTCCAGTACAGGCCGCATAGGCGAAAATTCTCCAGGGTTCTGATAATTGGGCTCATTGACAATATATTTCGAAGAAATCGAATCGCAGCGAATTCCGAATTCTCTGTGATTCACCGTTTCTATTGTTAACTTTCGAAGGACTCCTGGATTCAGACACTTGAACACTGATAGCAAACAAGTCGTGTCGTGGATCAAGGATCGATCGAATCCGAAAAGCTTTATTCTCAATTCCACAACTCTCAAAGTCAAATGATAATCTCTCAGAGTCTTCTCAAACAAATCCAAGAAGGCGTCAAGTCCCACAAGCTCCAGTCGACTACACATGTCGATTGTTTCAATTTAAATGAACAAGCATCCAATTTTGAACGCCGTCTCGCATAACAAAAAACACAAATCTCTCGCTGCATCCGTTTCGCAATCCATAATATTCGCCAACACTTTCCATAATTATTGGGTTTATTCTTCGGAAGTATAGTCTGCAAGAAAGTACCGTATCCCGTGTATGTTTGTTGAGCTACGCGGTTACAGCTACAGTACCGGTCAATAAGACATACAAAACGCCTTTTTCAGTTGATTTTCGGCCATTTCGACCATTTTTAAAAGTATGGAGCTCGTATGTCTAGTGCATGATTTCTGTGAAAACTTGGGAGGGTGTGAAACAGACCTAGAAGAAAATTTTGCATTTACAGAATTTCTTCAAAATTCCTATTTTTCAGCTGTTTGTCGATTTCTGAACAATACCCTTTTTCACGTTTTCAGTCCAAAAACGGGAAAAAATAGGTGTCTTCCAGAAATCGGGAAATAACTGGAAAACTAGAATTTTAAAAAAATTCTGTAAATGTAAAATTCAATCTTGGTCAGTTTTAGACGCTCCAAAATTTTCAAAGGGATTGCAAGCTTGAGAGCTGAGCTCCAGACTTCTGAAAATGGTCGAAATGGCTAAATATCAACTGAAAATTATGTTTTTGTTCATCTTGTGGACTGGTACATGGTCGCCGCCTAGACTTTTTAGCGTATATGAATGGGATACGGTAAATACACAAGACTACAGAAAAATCCTACTCACGCCTTGTAAATATCATAAAACTTCAAAATCCGCGTCTCTCTGTTGTTCTCCCTTCTCATAACATTCTCGGCCAATTTTCTCATCTTTCTTCTCACAAATCTTACTGTATAGACTACAGTATCATCATCCGCAAATTCCGCATTCTCTTCCTCATTCTCCGACACCTCTTCCTCGTCTTCAACGTCATCATCATTGGATTCTTCCTCGTCAGATTCACTCTCCTCTTCTTCTTCTTCTGGCTGCACTTCGGAGCCGTCAGGATTCAGGGGCCTTCGAAAAAGCGTTCCTTCACGGCGTCGCTGCTTGTATTCTTCTTTTTGTCGTCTCAATTCTAATCTTTCAGCTTTCGCCAGCGCTGAAAATCAATTTTTAGATATTCAGACAAAGATCCTAAAAATCCTGAATACCTTCGTTTCTAAGTCTCTGTTCCAATCCGTCATGTCTTCTGATAAAGTCCCAAACAACGCGATGAGCTTGTCGAAACGTGTGAAGCGATTTGAACTCTTTTCTGATGATTTTGCTGACCTCATTTGTCAATTCTTCGTTGGTTAATTCTTGTGGAGCTGCCATGAGGAGGCGGGGCTGAAAATTTTGAGGATTTTGAGAGTATTGGAAGCGCAAAAACGACCTAGAAAGCTGAAAAAAAAACCAGAAAATCGATATTCAACAAAATCAAAAACAACAAAAAACTGCGCGCTCGCTGGATAGGGGTAGATCAAATTTTGAAATAGATCAAAAAGTTTATTATCACATATCAATTTTTAAAATAAGACAAAATTAGATGAGAATACAAAAAATAGAACAGTTACAAATAATTAGTTGAACTTTAATTAAGCTTTAATTAGTCCCTAATTACCTAAACATGACAAAAACTCTGTTTGGCATCACTTCAATAAACATAGCCTCCCGGCGATAATTTCTTCTTGGAAATCCATGTAAATTGATGAAAAAACGGTGTCTCGCATAGTGTTGAAATTCGATATTGATTGGGATTTTTGAGTAAATTATGCAGTTGGAGCATCTTTTCGTTTTCCTTGTGTTCAATCCTTTCATGTACTGAAATTTTGGAAAATTAGGACTTTTTATTTGAGTTTCGTTATCTCGGTTCCTATGAGAGATATCGAGAAGATGTCAACAGATAAAATGTTGGTGAAAATGTGATTAACATTTTATCAGTTGAAAAATTTTGAATATCTTTTTGAGAACCGAGATTCTGATAGGGGTCCAAAATCTTAGAATCTCAGAATCTCAGAATCTCAGAATCCTTCAGAATCTCAGAATCTCAGAATCTCAGAATTTCAGAATCCTTCAGAATCTCAGAATCTCAGAATCTCAGAATCTCAGAATCTCAGAATCTCAGAATCTCAGAATCTCAGAACCTCAGAATCTCAGAATCTCAGAATCTCAGAATCTCAGAATCTCAGAATCTCAGAATCTCAGAACCTCAGAATCTCAGAATCTCAGAATCTCAGAACCTCAAAATCCTTCAGAATCTCAGAATCCTTCAGAATCCTTCAGAATCTCAGAATTTCAGAATCTCAGAATCTCAGAATCTCAGAATCTCAGAACATCAGAACCTCAGAATCTCAGAAGCTCAGAATCTCAGAATCTCAGAATCTCAGAATCTCTGAACCTCAGAATTTACCTTTGAAATCTCGATTACATCCTTAACTTTCAATTCCCAATACTCCACACTGTTAAATGTCAAAAGTGTCTTCATATAACCCGAAAATGAAATCTGTGGATCATTGACAACCAACTGCTTCGGCTCTCTCCATTGCTCCAGTTGAATAATCGATTCGAATGACAAAGCCGGCAATTCCCTAGTCTCCAAATGAGAACTATCCCAGACGCTGAGCTCGATTACATAGGGATTTGGCACAATATCCCTATGGACATCTGCTGGCACTCTTTCCGACCATCTGATATGACTTATCATATATTCCAAGTGTTTCGGTTGGCTCAGCATCGATTTCTCCACTTTTGCATACGTCTTCATTTTAAAAGTGTGAGACAAGCTAATAGGATCCATTGGGTAGGCCTCTAGTTTTTTGAAAAATGCAGTAAATGGATAAATTTTCAAATTCCATCCGTTATATTCCTCAAAATCGATTTCCAACTTGTAGAGCTCTCGTCTGGTAGCTCTAATAAAATCACGGGCGGCCAATTCTTGATATTTGCGATTATCGACAAATCTGACGTCTCCTTGATACCAAAGCCATGTTCCTCCGTTTCCACGCCAGTATTCCATTTGGTATCTTTTGACGATGTCCTGAGGATCCATGTTTCTCAATGGGCAAAGCTCAAGTTTCACTTTTCCATATGTTATTGCAACTTTCACAGTGTTTGGTATATCGGCGAGCCTGAAAAATTGTAGGTAATGTAGAACTGGTTCCAAAACGTCTGGTTGTGAAATAGTCATTTGGGAAATGATCAGTTTTAAAATATCCGGATAAAATATATATCTAAAACTTCTATTTTTGAAATAACAGACTCTAAAACATCCTATTGAAAATCAATGGTTCTAAAACGTCCGGTTACAAAATGGTATGTTTTAAAATGTCTCATTTCAAGTTCTAAAACTTCAAGTTCTAAAACTTCTAATTGCAAAATTATTAGTTCTGAAACGTCTGGTTGCAAAATAGTCAGTTGCAAAATGGTAAGTTAAGTAATCGTTGGCTTCAAACGACCGATGGATTATCAACCCAACAAAAATTGGGAAATTTTGGAAATCTAAGAATCCATAAAATTCCAACTCACATCACTAACGAATTCGAAGAATTCTTAACTTCAGACTTCATCATCCGGCTACTGTATCTAAATTGCTTCTCATCAAATCTTGTCACATGTCCCTTTAAATACATGAACTTCTGGTTCACCGTTCTGAGCTCAATCCCATTTTCATACTCATCCTCTTTATCATGTTCCATAGTTTCATCGTCCGAATCCGCTTCATTATAATTCTTCTTCGGAGGGTAGACCTCATCCTCTGATTTTGTCCTTTTTAAAGGTCCAGGTGTTGAATCCCACCGCGGACCGTAAACACTGTTCGGATCAAAACTGAATGATTCTCTGGAGTGTGGAGTGTCCACACATCCTTCGTATCCTGCTGATGACACTTCTGATTCTTCAGGCGATGGAGGAGGATCGGGAACTTCTTGGGAATCAATCATTTGACAGAGATTACTGTGAGCTTGGCGAGCGGAATTTTGTTTTAGATATTCGTAATGAAGCAAGATTTCTCGTTCTTCATCGCTGGTGAGGAACTCGGGGGACGGCATTTTTGGATTTGCTGAAAAAAAGAGATGAAAGTCTGAAAAAGAGTCTTTTGGTGTGTTGAAAAAAAAAGAGAACTCAATTTTCACGAAAATCAATTTTTATGAAAGAAAACAGGAAAAAACCGCCAGTGATCTTTCGGGTAGATCAAAAAAGTTTTTAGATCAAAATCCTTCAGAATCTCAAAATCGCAGAATCTCAGAATCTCAGAATCTCAGAATCCTTCAGAATCCTTCAGAATCTCAGAATCCTCCAGAATCTCGGAATCATTCAGAATCTCAGAATTCTTCAGAATCTCAGAGTCCTTCAGAATCTCAGAAACTCTGAATCTTTCAGAATCTCAGAATCCTTCAGAATTTCAGAGTCCTTCAGAATCTCAGAAACTCAAAATCTTTCAGAATCTCAGAATCTCCGAAACTCTGAATCTTTCGGAATCTCAGAATCCTTCAGAATCTCAGAATCTCAGAATCTCAGAATCTCAGAATCTCAGAATCTCAGAATCTTAGAATTCCAAATCTTCAGAATTTCAAAATCTCAGAATCTCAAAATCTTAAAAATCTCAGATTCCTTCGAAATTTCTAAATTTTCAGATCAATTTTGAAATTTTTGATCTACTTGAAATTTCAACCCGCGCTTTTTTTTTCGAATTTCGGTTTTTGTCGTTGTCATTCATTTTTCATCGATTTTCTTCAAACTTTTTCAAATTTCAGCCCAATTCTAATTTTTCAGCCCAAAAATGTCGGACTACAAAACGTTCGAATCGTTTCTTCGACGCTATTTTGATAGCGGACGCTCCTGTGTCCAAGCTCGTGATAATTGGATCAAGAAAATGAAGGATATAGGTAAGTTTGAAGTCCATTATCTCAATTTCTGTGATAGCTATCAAAAACTTGTTAACTACAAAAATTTTGGTGATTTTATGATAAAAACTTTATCGCTTGACAGAATTTTGATACTTCTCATAGGAATCGAGATAATTGAGCTCAAAGTTCAAATCAAGGTAGTATTTATGGTTATTTTCAGAAGCAAGCCAGCCCGGAACATCTAGACAATCTGAAAACCGAAAAGTATCGGAATCCTCCGAATCTTCTGGATTCTCAGTTTGCAGTGGTTTTCCAGCTAGACGTGACTCGTATGAAGAATATGAGGAACCAGTTGTTAATATATTTGATGACGAATTTGAACAGCCTGATCCATAAATTTCTGCTAGCAATTCGATTATAATCCCAAATAACACGGATCCGACAGAATCTGAAATCGATGAAATTGAGGTGAAAAAGAAGAAGAAGAACCAAAAGAAGAAGAAAAATAAGATGAAGAAAAACAAGAACAAAAAGAAGAAAAAAGTGGAAAAAGAAGACGAAGGAATGGACTTTGATCCATATGCAGTACCTCTTCAGAATATTATAAGGATTTTCGAAAAGTTCGCAAAGCAAGAGTTTGCTCAGGTTAGAAGCAGAGTGCATTCTGGAAACAAACGAGTGAACATTGAAAATTATATTTTGAGACTGTGAGTAAAAAAGTTATACTTTTTGAGATATGAGTTCTAAAAGATATCGAGTCGCTTACCGTAGTTTCTCTAATACATAGGAACCAGGCCTGTGCGGCAACAAATTGCCGATTGCCGAAATTGCCGAAATTGCCGAATTTTTGTTGCCGGTTTGCCGTTGCCGAAATCGGCAACGAAGAAAAAGTTGCCGAATTGCCGTTGCCGATTTCGGCAAAAAAATTTCGGCAACTGAAATTTTTATGAATTTAGAGATTTTCACAACTTTTTTAGTCAAAAAAATGATTTCGAAATTCGAAAAATCAAATTTTGAACACCATCATCCCTCAGAGTGAATTTTAAAGGAAATGTGTCCCAATAATCATCAAAAATATTTGCATCGGATCTAAAAATGGGCTTCAAATTTGTGAGCATAAGAGAAAAATAAATATCATGAGTCACAACTCATCAAAAAAATTATCTAATCTGTCTCAAATCTCTAGGAAAGGTGTGTCGTGAGTTGCCTAACAAGTTGAGCGCACTATTTTCAAAACTCACAATCGGAACAAATATTTTCAACCATTGGAATACCCTCTATTGCTAAAGAGAAATAGTTTGCATAAAAAATGTGGTCTTGAGTTGCCAATTTTTGTAATTACTTCTTTAAGGAACTTATGAAACACATTTTCTGTAGTTCTGAGCCGGATAGAAGCATTTTCAGGTGAGTTACGTAACGATTTTACTAAAAAAAGACGCAAAACTTTTGTTGCCGAAATTGCCGAAACTTTTTTTCGGCAATTGCCGAGTTGCCGAACGTTGCCGAAAAGTATTCGGCAAATTGCCGAGTTGCCGAATTGCCGAAAAAATTTTGTTGCCGCAAAGGCCTGATGGAACATCACATAATGGAACCCACATAATATGTGACCTTTGAGCTCAAATGTCTTCTTTCTACGAGAGATATCAAAAGTTTGTCAACTAATAAAATATTTTTCAATATTTTTCATCCGAAATCAATGCACGTTGCGGCCGAGAAAACAACGGTGGGCGGAGCTTAGCTCCCACAGAGAGAACCTTACTGTATTTTTCAAATTATTGCACGCGCCTTTAATACAGTACCTCAACACTTATCGAATTTTCTCAAATTTCTCTCACTTTTTCGCTTGTTTCTGTCTAATTTTGTGTAATTCTTATAAATCTTTAATTTATTTTTCTTATAAAATAGAAAAAAAACAGCCGAATAGGGCCCAAAAAAAAACCTCCGAGGTACGGTATTCAAAGGCGCATGCATCAATTTGTTCTTTCGACGATGTGATTTTGAGTAAATTTTCGGCCGCAACGTGCATTGATTTCGGACGAGAGTAATATCACCGACGTTTTATCAGTTAACATATTTTCAATATCTTTCACAGAAATCGATAAAATTGAGCTCTAAGAGCATGTATATGATGGGCTTCTATAACTAGCGAACTCAATCTTTGAGCGTCTGTATCTCGGAAACGACATTAGCAAGGTAAACATCTTCAATTAACAAAATGTGTGAAATTATATTTTGCTCGATTTTATTGTTGACAACTTGTTAACACCTAATTTGATTTTTGAGATATAAACTCCGAATCTTTTCAGCCTCTACCTTCGTCGAATCTCGTATAAATGCCGAACTCTTGCGGACCGATTTGAAATTGCCAACAAATATCTGGATTTTACAATTGGTTTAAACAAGATTAACATCAAGCTACGCACTAAATCATTGGATTACTGTAGCCGCACATTAGGCGATCAATTCGTTTGCGAAATTCAAGATGGAACCTTGATGACCAAATCCTATCAGACTGTGGCAGTCTCCGATTTATGCTATCTAATCCAACGACGTGCTGATAAACTGATAGCTTTAGGATTCATGGTGGCTTCAGACGACACAGATGGATTTGATCCGGATCTTTCAATCTACTGGAAAAATTTGGCGATTCTTTGAACATTTAAGCAAAACATCGAGAGGAAAAATTAAGGTTGGAGCGTTACGGTTCACATTTGTATCTCGTCCATCGGATTTGGAAGATTTTCAAATTCATTCAGTGCTGCAGTATATTAAGCCAAAAGTCCTGTGGCAATTCAATTTGCGAGTTTGGCAAACAGATCGAGAAGGATATTCTAGTACGTATAAAATCCCAGAATCGGTCTTCAACTCTGAGCAATGGCAACGAGCTACTGTGTTGTACGTTGATAAAAATATCATTAATCAATGGAAACAATATCGTCGTTTTTCGGGGGTCAGTGTTGAGAGGCCATTTGAGATGCAGGATTATGTGCAGATCATTAATGTAAGAAGTGGAAACATAAATTTTTATGAAGTTTACATTTTAAGGCCTTTGTGGATCACCCAGTGAAAATGCCTCTCGGCATTTACATGCCTCGCAAAAGGTGCGACCGCGTTCCAATTCTTTGATGTCGAACATCCGCGATTACAAGTTACACAGAACCGACTTATAGGTCTAATGCCCGGCCCAGTCGGCCAAGCAAGGCCAGCCGAGCCAGTCGAAGCCGAACTTCCTGATTCATCATAATCCGGATTCTCCCAAGGTGGCTCTGGGGCGGAATCGGTAAAATCTGACGAACCCGTGGAAAGAGAAGAAGAGGATATTGACTCGGAAGAAGAAAACATTCTATGTCGAGCAACGATAAAAACGAGAAAGCAGAACTATAGTGAAGTCACTTGTCGGGATTCGAATTGTATCTTTTTCAAAATACTCCCTCAGTGAGAACTGACTACTGTACTATTTATGATTTATCCCTTGTAACATTGAATTTCACCTGTACATGATTTTGAGAATCATTTTTTTCATTTCCCAAATGAATGTTTATTCTGCGAGGCGGTTAAAACTTTTGGAATGCTTACGATTCTAGATTTCAAGCTGACAAGTGAGATTTTTTCCTATATATGACTTTTTGAAGACGACCAGGAAGTTCAGTAGGACCAGGGAGTCTAGAAGGACTCCAAGGATTTAAGTGACCTCAAGGACCCCAAGGATGCCAGGGACCCTAGGCACCTCAGGCACTCCAAGGGCCTCAAAGATATGAGAGGCGTCATGAACCCCCAAAGACGCCAAGGATCCCATAGTCTCCAAGAACACCATAGCTCCCACTAGCCCCGGAGACACCAAGGGCTCCAAGGACACAAGGAACCTCAAGCACCTCGAGGACCGCAAAAATCCCAGGTATCCCAGGAACCTCAGAGGCCTCAAGGATCTCAGGGACCTTTAGAACACCAGAGTCTCTGGAGGACGATCGGGCGGATCAGAAGCATTGGAAGAATCTAAACCACCCGTAGAAGGAGAAGAAGATTATGGCTACTGACTCGGTTGACACCAGTTTCCTAAACCAGACCAATTTCATTCATATCTAGCAAAACAACCAAAAATAAAATACAAAATATTCAAGATAACAAATTTCCCAGTTAAAAATCATTCCGTATTAATCGGTCAATTCTTCTAGTTCTCATAGTGACCTGAATTCGGTTCGAATCGAGTTTAACATCATATACACGTCCATCGTCAGAGACTCTCTCAAATTCCAATGGAAAGTTCGCATTGAGATTGATTATTCCGTTTTTGGTAAGCTCATCTTTCATATCGCCAAAATGGAATTCGTTTTTCGAGATTATGGTTAATGGTTGGTCGGATTTCAGCGCCTGGAATTATGAGCAATGAAACAATTAGTACATGAGTTTTGACCCATTTTATATCGGTTCCCATAAAAGTTATCAAAAATTTGTCAATTAATAAAATTTTGGTTATAATCTGATTAGTATTTTATCAGTTGACAAAGTTTTGGTAGCTTTTACAGGAACCGAGATAAATCGGTTTGAATTGCTAGGTTCCCTATATTGACTCGTCAACCGGACGAACTATTGAATGGCGCACAACTCAGCTCAAACTTAAAGTTCCTTTTTGAATCAAAATGTAAAATGTAGTCCTTAATAAGATCCACAGAAGGATATCAAATTCCAATCTGTTCAAATGTTGAGTTTTGAACCAAAAAGCGTGAGACAGCTATATTGCCCGAGTTCTATTAGAACTTTTGGTCCGGACATCTGAATTTGAATACAGTCGAAATATATACCAATTTGTAGATCTCAACAAGTTCTACATTTTGATTTTTCATTCGACCAAAATTTCCGAGTTCGGGGCGAGTTATGCGCAAAGAACCTTACCAATAGCGTATCCCACATGTCGATGCCATTCATCCATTCCACTCGAACCGTTTCAAAATGAACATAACTGTCCCATTCATGCAAAATTCTGTCTCCAATATCCAACTCTTTTGCTTGTTTCCATTGCTTCAATTCTACCATCTCCTTGTCATTGATGAAATATTTCGCAGCCCTTTTTGGTCTTCTCAATTTTATACACTCGACACCATCGAATTTTTTCACAAATTGGTTCAAATATCGATGCTCCCCGCCCAGTTCAGTAAGCATAAATGAGAACTTTCTGGCTTTAATCGATCTACAGTAAGCATTCATCAATCCCAAGAGAGTATTGTAAATGGAAACATCGAGGTCCTTTACGCGAACTTTTGGTTCATCCGCAATTTTCAGCGTCACCCTCTCCATCGTCGCACTGGTTACCAGAAGGAAATGAAAGTCGCAGGCGGCTTTATCTTGAAAATTTCCCTCATAATTGTCCAAACCGTTGGGGTGTTTCACTAGGGTTTTTCCTTGATTATCCTCATAGAATATGCTCATTCTGGTCCCATGAACATCATTAATTCGGATTTCTATATAATCCCAGCCAACGAGAAGTTTTAGCTTTTTGATTTTCAAGTAGCTCCACTCCACGTTCTCCCAACACTCATCGTTGATTCGTCTGTAGAGCATTCTGGAAAAAAGAAAAAAAAGAAAAAAAAAAATCAGAAATTTCCAAAAGCCTTACAGATCACAACAATCCTTGATATCCTTCACTACTCCATTCTCGTCTTTTTCAATTTCCTTCAATTTCTTCATGGCTAACTGCCCATACAGATTTCGAACTTTTTTCATTGGAATCGGGTCTTCAGAAAATCCAATAAACTCGACAGGATCGTAAAGGGCAAAGTAGTAATTCTCTTCGATTTCCTGGATTATCGATTTTTTTATTCTTCGCGGCGTCCGCTTTTTGAGCTCTTCCAACGAAAGAGAAGGTGACTCTGAAAAAATTTTTTGAGCCTAAAAGCTTGTGTACGCAGCCGACAGCGGTCGAAAAATCTGGGCCGCCATTGGACCACCGCTAGACCACCATTGGACCACCGCTAGACCGCCATTGGGCCGCCACTGGGCTTGACTAGTGGCGTAGAAAAAATAACGGGGAACATGCTTAAGTTCGAAAATAAAATACCTGAAATCACAAAATCCCCATAATAGCGTTTTTTGGCTGGTGAAACTTCTTCTCCCTCTGACGTTCTTGGACGCTTTCGATCAGATTTTTCTGGAAAGAAATTCTTAAATTTACAGATCATATTTTCAGCTCCTACCTTCAACAGCTTGTGCCAGTAGAAAATGAGCTCTCTCCATGGAGAATCGTTGCTCAAACTGATCCGTCAAAAAATCTTTGTACGTGATTTCTGTGCCAGGAATTTTCGTTTCCATGATTATGTCGTCATCGGAGTCAGTCATTCTGGACAATTCTGGGAATTGGAAAATTGAAAAAAAGACTTGGGGGGAAAACTGATAGTGAGAAAAAAAAGAAATGTGGTTCCAGAAGGATTTTCAAAAAAAAAACAAACAACATACAAAAAATGGCGGGTTGGAAAGTTTTGGGTAGATCAAAAAATAGTTTGCGAGTCTGGTAGAGCAAGGTGGCACATGTCATAGAACTGTGAAGTTACAGAATTCTGAAATTACAGAACTGTGGCGTATTAGAACGGAAACATCATAGAACTGCGACGTTATAAAACTGTAACGCATCAAAATCCAGTTGTTATTTTTATTTTCTAATTTCGAGAACACTCGTGAGGTGCAAGGTTTAATGCATCACCGTTTGTAACGTTACAATCCTGTTCTACTTCTGACAAATTAGAAAAAAGAGAAAAAAACTGTTTAAAAACTGTTAAAATATGCCAAAAACATCCAAATTTTCAAAGCTTTTGTAAAACAACATTTTAGGAGGTTAGTTCAATGTTTTATGGCTCAAACAAAATATTCAAAATAATCAAATCCTGGAAAAAGACAAATAGGTTACAGTAGAGGGTGAGTGGAGAACAAAGAAAGATCTCAGGTGTTAATTTTGTTGAATTGACGATTGAGACAGATACTTATAGTCCATATCAACCTTATTCGATTCAATGGTGATAACAATGAGAGTATCTTCATGATGGTCTCGAGTGAGTTTCAATGGAAAACCAAATTCAGGAGATTCGGGATCCTTGTCGAATGTTCCGAAGCACCCTTGAATGCCTCTTTCACATCTTCAATTCTCAATGGCTCTGTGAGAGTTATTGTGTAATTTCTCGAAACCTGGAAAATACAAAATTTCGAATCGAAACCTTTTAGGGGTGAAAACTCACACTTTGAGCCTTCTTCAAGTCTGCAGCCGTCATCGACAGCACTTTGATATTGCGGATTTCAAGAAGACTTATCCAGTACTTGCACATAAGTGGGTCACAAATATCAAGAGTTCTTGCATCTCTCCATTGTTCCAAACTTGACGCCACTGAATATCGAGGCCAATTTAGAATCACTGGGTCGTAGGATCCACTTGCAAGAACTTCTTTATCATCCCACATTCGAAGTACAAGATGACGAAGTTTTTGGGGCCACAGAACTTGTAGAAATTCATGGAAGTAGCTCTTTTTTGGTTCAAGATAATCATCTCCCCTGTTGAACATATACTTGAAATTTCTCACAAGGATCTTACGATCGCCAAGTCTTTCCTTGAACAGTTTAGCGATGACACCGAGAATCGACATATCTATGAATTGAGGAGGTTGTTGTTCAGATCGGTACTCCTCGAATTCGATGGAGATCTGATTAAGGAATTGTCCAGGGATTCTGAGGAAGAAGAAGAAGTCGACAGCTGCCATAATCTTGTAATGAGTCCCATCTTGGAAGAATGTGTTCTCAAACTCCATCAGATGTAAACCCTCTTCACTTCTTCCATATGTGATAGTTGTTTCATAATCTTCGTCCAACTTTCGGGAAATTTGTAGTTGAATTTTTTCAAAACCAATCACAAGTTTCAATTTCTCAAGTTTCAAATTTTCTAGTTTATCAGCCGCATCTCGACATTCTACGCTGGCCTTTCTGGCGTACAATCTGCAATTCGCTTTATTTTTCAAGCTCAAGAATAATTTCGAATACTCACAAGTCCACGTAGTAGCAAGCCTCATCATCCGGTTTTATATCTTCCAATGTATCGAGAGCATTTTTGACATACACTTTTTGAATATCTTCCATTTGAATATCCAAGTTCGGGTCCCGCTCAGGCATAGGGATTGGATCATAAATCTCTGGTGAATATTCCACCCGCTCTTGTTCAATTAATCCCTGATTTTCTGGTTTGAATTGATGATTTCTCAATGGTGGAGGAAGTGGGCGATCGAATGATGATCGGATTTGGGCAATTATAAGATCCGCAGAACCAGCCTCTTGTTCATCTTGTTCTGAAAATACAGTAACTTGCTTTAAATTATTTTTGGGGTAATACAACCGGGCCAGTGGTGGCTGGCCGCGGCCGACCGTAGCACGGCATTTTTGTACACCTAAAAATGCTACAAATTACCTTTTTTCAGTCCGATCTGCTCTAGAAGATACTCGTGAGCTTCTTTCATCGAACACCTTTTATAGTTGCATCTGCGAACGCACTGCTGCCATGTTTCACCGCTCAAAATCTTTTCATGCGGCAAAAGGTCCGATTCCATGGATGAGCCTGAAGATGAAGAAGGTGGCGGAGAGTCGGAATCTGAATCTGTCATCTGCAATTTGAAACGGTGAAACTTTTTTTTTTGGATTTTGCAGAAAAATCTAGAGAAAACGGAAGGAATTCGGAAGAAAAAAAGCATCGAGAAGGTTCTTCAAAGAAAAAAAAGTAAAAAACATCGCCGTTTGGGTAGATCAAAACTTTTTCAGGTTTCATGCAAGTCTGAAAACTGCGATTTTAGGATTTCTCGGAGAATGTTAGCTTGTCTGAATTTTTCAAAGCTTTTAGGATTTCAAATCGTTTTTAAACTTCTAAGTATTCTAAAGTTTCGTTTTCTTTTTGTTCTCTGGAATTCTGAATTTCAGAGTATGCTACTCGGTTGTGGCCTGCAACTTTAGGGCGAATACAGGGGTGGATGCGGCTTTAGAGCGTTATTTGGGCGGCTTTTAACAGGAAGCTCCTAGATCTGTGGCAGCTGCGCCGACCACCACCACCTTGGCGAATCTTGGGCGATGTTTGGGCGAATTTTAAAGGGAACGCGTGCTTCGCGTTGCGTGCACCAGAATTTCTTTTCGAAATCAAATTGTATTTCTTTTTTCTCCTATTTTAGTGTAATTCGTCTAATTTTCTTTGTCGTTTCTGTTCTAAAATGAAAAACCTTTTAGGCGGTAGTATCAAAAATTTGGTTTCGAATATAGGACTTTCACAAATTGGTTGGAAGTAAGGAATTCGAAATTAAAGTGAGGACATCTGAAAAAGAGAAGATGAATGGATTCGTCAGAATATCGAATTCCAGGTCGAAGAGACAACTTCGTAAGATACATAATTTTGTGAACGTATTTATGATGATTTTCAGAAGGAAGTTGGCAACACGTATTCTGGCAGAAAAAATTGATACTGGAATCCAAAGTTCACAAAAAGGTAAAAACATAGAAATGTGATTTGAAAAATTGTGAAACTTGTAGATCGTAATACATCTGATTGTGAGTATCATCGAAGATGAAACAGCTCACGCCCGGAACGACAATGCTCGTCGCTGCGCCGAGAGACCGCTGTGCCGTTTTGTAACCGAGAATACTACGATATGACTCGTCACTACGGTGTCAAACAAAGCAATCTGATTGCGTGGTAAGTGGGAGGAGATTTTTGGTTCGAAGAACCTGAGGATCGCTAGATCCCTAGATCCTTGGATCTTTAAACACCTAGATCCTTCGAAACCTAAATTCCAAATTCCAGCTTTGTCTTGATCAACGATCCAAACGAGAAGGACTCTCATTCGGCTCATCAATCCAATACGTCTGCGAACCGGACAGTCTAAACGGCGCCGACGGCAAGTACATCATCCACATGAACCCGATCGTTCTATAATAGTTCTTCGACTCATCAGTTCCATCTATCATGAGCTTCTGTACATGCCATCTGAGGGATCGGCGGTGTTCGAAAAGCAGATAGATGGCCAATATGCGTTGAACAAGAACATGAAGTTGGGTTTCTGTGCCAACTTCTCACCAGCGTGTCTTGTGTGATGATGTTCCGACTTTCATCTGACAGATCTCATTGGTAAGCGACAATAAAATCAATACAATTATCTTTGTTTTTTTTTCAGAGCACCCAAGTGACAACTACTGCCTACTCTACCCATATCATGATTCAATGCAAATCTAATAGATAATCTTTTTTTTTCTCTTTTTTTTGTTATTCTGTTCATTATTTTTCTTTCTTCTGTTAGCCATTGATTTTTCAAAATAAATCAAGTTTATGAAATTGATTTGGACAGAAATTTCAGATTATTTTAGAGCCTAGGGTCAGATTTAGTGTGAGTTACGCGAATCTTGAGCGTAGGTTTGGCGTCTTTTGAGCGGTCGCTGGGCGGCTTCTGCAGAAAACTAAAGCGACATCCGCCCTGCCACAGCTCAGAAGCCGCTTTAATCCAGCCCAAAAGTTGCGGGCAACAGCCGAGTAGTTTTTGCCTTTTCAACGTTACCTGATTGCTTCTCATTGGATTTTTTCAATAATAAAGAACACCTTTGCTACAGAAAATATTTTATTGAAAAATGCAAAATTAAACAAACCCGTAAGCATCCTTGGTTGAAGTGTTACTTTCTTCTACGATGACTCAAAAAGTAATTCTGAATAACAACAAATGGAAGATTCAATTCTTTGGCAAGACTTCTTTTGGTAACCGTAGTTGGACATTGGCACAATTGAAACACTGCTTCCAGGGTATTCTCTTGATATTCGGTGACTTTGGTACGAGTTTTCTTTTCTTCAGATTCCACGGGTTGCTTGTCCACCTTCTCCATCGTTTCCAGGTACCGTAAAACCTCTAATAGAACGACACCCGGATCGTCCACTTTGAGCCTATATATCTTATTTTCTGTGAAAGATATCAAAAAGTGGCTGACTAGTAAAATGGGGGATCCTCTAGAGTCGACCTGCAGGCAT